ATTTCCCATAGTTCTGGAGGCTAGGAAGTCCAAGACCAAGGCACATACAGAGTTAGTATATGGAAAGGGCTTGATTTCTGGTTCACAGATGGCACCATCTCACCATGTCCTCACATGGTAGAAGGGACCAGCTAGCTCTACTAGGTTCTACTAAGGGCACTAATCCCAATCACAAGGGCCCCACCTTCAAGACCTAATTACCTCCTGGAGGCCCCACTTCCTAATACCATTGTCTTAGGGATTAGAATTTCAACATATGAAATGGTGGAGCATGAACATTCATATATAAAAAACCATATGGGATTTACTTCAGGAATGCAAGGTTGGTTCAACATTCAAAAATAATTAATGTAATCTACTACATCAAAAAGCTAAAGATCATATCAATAGATACAGAAAAAGCATTTGACAGAGTCTAAGACCTACACATGGTAAAATCTCTCAGTAAACTACAATAGAGGGAACTTCATCAGCTTGATGATGAATATCTACAACAAAACACCCTATAGCTAATGGGGAGAAACTAGAAACTTCCTCACCAAGATCATGAACAAGGCAAGGATGTCCCCTCTCATTAATGTTTTTCGACATCATACTGGAAGTCCTAGCTAATGCAATAATACCACGGAAGGAAATAAAATGTAGGGAGATTACAAAAGAAGAAATAAAATTATGTTCACAGATGACATAATTGTCTATGTAGAAAACCTGAAAAAAATGACAAAAAAAAAAGCCTTCCTGGGAACTAATAAATGATTATAGTAAAGTTGTAGGATATAAATTTAATACACATGGGGTACCTGGGTGGCTCAGTTGGTTAAGCCACTGCCTTTGGCTTGGGTCATGATGCCAGAGTCTCGGGATCGAGTCCTGCATCAGGCTCCCAGTTTTGCAGGAAGTCTGCTTCTCCCTCTCACCTTCTCCCCTTTCATGCTCTCTCTCTATCCCTCAAATAAATAAAATCTTTTAAAAATATAAGGTTAATACACAAAAGTCAATTACTTTCCAAATGCCAGTAATGAAGAAGTGAAATCTGAAATTTAAAATATATTACCACTTCCACTGGCATCCCACAAAATACTGAAGTACAACTCTAACAAAATCTGACAAGATCTATATGAGGAAACCTACAAAACTCTCATGAAAGATATCATAGACCTTAATAAGTGAGGAGATAGTTCATATTCATTGATAAGAAGACACAATATTGTCAAGACATCAGTTTATCCCATACCGATACATGGATTGAATGGAATGCCAATCAAAATCTCAGCAAATTATTTTGTGGTATCAACGAATGGATTCTAAGTTTTTTTTTTAATTGAGAAATACTTGTACTTTTGTTTTCTTTTTATTTTTCATTTTAAGTAAGCTCTACATCCAGTATGGGGCTTGAATTCACAACCCTTAGGTTGAGAGTCACATGCCTCACCAACTGAGCCAGCCAGGTGACCCTGATTCTAAAGCTTACATGGAGAGGTGAAAGACCCAGAACAGCCAACTCAGTATTGAAGAACAACAAAGGTGGAGGACTGATACTACCTTAAAGTAGCTTACCATATAGCTGCAGTCACCAAGCAGTGTGGTATTGGTGACAGAGAACCCAGAAATAGATCCATATAAGTACAGTCAACTGATCTTTGACAAAGGAGAAGACAGTGTGTTTTTTTTGTTGTTGTTTTTTGTTTTTCAACGAATGGTGCTGGGACTGGATATCCACATGCCAAAATTTTTTTTTTAAATGAATCGGAACAATTTTACTCCTTTCACAAAAATGGACTCAAAATGGATCACAGATCTAAATGTAAAATGCAAAACTATGAAATTCCTAGAAAATGACAGGAGAAAACCTAGATGGCCTCGGGTATGGCAATGAGTTTTTAGATATGACACCAAAGGTAAAATCCATGAAAGAAGTGATTGCTAAGCTGGCCTTCGTTAAAATGAAAAACTTCATTAAAATGAAAAACTTCGGGGCGCCTGGCTGGCTTAGTCAGATGAGCATGTAACTCTTGATCTCGGTTGGGGTTGTGAGTTCGAGCCCCACGCTGAGTAGAGATTACTTAAAATAAATAAACTTAAAAAAATTTTTTTTTAATGAAAAACTTCTGCTCTGCAAAAGGCAATGTCAAGAGAATAAGAAAACAAGTCCCAGTCTGGGAGAAAATATTTGCTGAAGACCTATGATAAAGGAGTGTTTTCCAAAATACACAAAGTACTCTTAAAACGCAACAGTAAGAAAACAACTTAATTTAAAACTGGGCCAAAAAGCTTAACAGACACCTTACTAAAGAAGATACAGAGGCAAGTAAGCATATGAAAAGATGTTCAACATTGCAAACTGAAAGAAGATACCACAACGCACCTGTTAGAATGGCCAAAATTCACACCACTGAAAATACCAGATACTAAAGAGGATGTGAAGCAACAGGAACACAACGTCATTGTTGGGGGGGATGCAAAATGGCACAGCCACTTTGGAGGACAGTTTGGCAGTTTATTATAAAACTAAACTTACTACCATATATTTTCCTTGGCACAATTTGCCACTTTAAGAAAAACTCAAAGTTCTTTTCTTTCATATTATTTGTCTAAAAATGTATTGTTCTTTTGTTGAGATGATATATAAGCTCAAGTTCTAACCAAACAAACCTTGGAGATACTCATGTCTGAATACTCCCATGTATATTTGTAATGCACATGTTAGAAAACTTCAATTTCTTCTTGTTAAGCTATCGTTTGCTAATCTAATTTATAGGACACCCCAACTAAAAACGTAAAGGTAGAGGGAACAGACTTTTTTCTTCTACTTAAGAGGCTTATTTAAGAGGCACTATATAAGGGGATTTGGTGAAATATAGGATTACTAGCAATAAACCATTTTAAAAATAACGTCTAAATAATTTCACTCAGGGGCGCCTGGGTGGCTCAGTTGTTAAGCGGCTGCCTCTGGCTCGGGTCATGAGCCCAGAGTCCTAGAATCGAGTCCCACATCAGATTCCCTGCTCGGCGGAGCCTGTTTCTCCCTCTCCCTCTGCCTGCCACTCTGCCTACTTGTGCTCTGTCAAATAAATAAAATCTTTAAAAATAAATAAATAGGGGTGCCTGGGTGGCTCAGTGGGTTAAGGCCTCTGCCTTTGGCTCAGGTCATGATCTCGGGGTCCTGGGATCGAACCCCGCATCAGGCTCTCTGCTCAGCAGGGAGACTGCTTCCCTCTCTCTCTCTGCCTGCCTCTCCGCCTACTTGTTATCTCTGTCAAATAAATAAAATCTTAAAAAAAATAAAAAATACATACATACATACATACATACATAATACTTTCACTCAATCACTAACAAGACTCATGGGCTTGATTTCCCTCCATGCCATTTAATTTCAGAAATAGGGTTCGGGGCGCCTAGGTGGCTCAGTGGGTTAAGCCGCTGCCTTCGGCTCAGGTCATGATCTCAGAGTCCTGGGATCGAGCCCCGCATCGGGCTCTCTGCTCAGCAGGGAGCCTGCTTCCCTTCCTCTCTCTTTGCCTGCCTCTCTGCCTACTTGTGATCTCTCTCTGTCAAATAAATAAATAAAATCTTTAAAAAAAAAAAAAAGAAAGAAATAGGGTTCAACTGGCTGCTGGACGACTCACAAAATGGCCTTCAAAACTTCTGGGTGGTTTTACTTCAGTGCAGTTAATGGATAAGATCCATGAAAAGGGAACACATGAATTCATTAAGGTACCTGGGGAATGTTGCAAGAGAGGCTTCAGGAATCTAGGTGTGGCTACCTTTATTTCTGATAGGCTACGCTAAACCTGTCTGCTACTTCTTAGCAATAATGACTGCAAAGGGGCTGCAGATGACCTAATCCAACTCCTTCAGTTACAGATGTGAAAACCAGGGCCCTACAAAAATATTTTTCCCCAATATCCCAAAGCCTCTTAGTAAGCGACTTCACATTTTAGTGACTAGCACCCAGAACTCCTGTCTCCCAATATTTTCATTTTCCCAAAGCTTTGAGACTGTTTGGAGAATGCAAAGGAAGAAGGCTTTGATAGACTTCAGTGGAATACAAGCCTGCTGGCAACACGTGACCAGAATCTTCAGACAGCTAGGAATGACTGGCACATGCAAAGGTAACTGTGAGGCTGTCACCCCAAAGGCAATCCATCTGGGCTTCTGGATGGGCAAGTAAAGTCTTCAGGTTCTATTCAAGGTTAATGTCCTAGGAGATTTTTGTTGGATAGGGATTTTGTTAATTTTGGCCTTGGGCTCGTCTTTTCCCATTCTCTGATCCTGTTTCCTCATGTGTAAAATAGACATTAAATGCTTCTAACATTACGATTCTAGGAAATGTCAGAATTAAGCACAGTAATATTAGAGAATGAAAGATGAGAAGTAAAACAATTACACTGAGCAAGTATTTTTAACTGATTAAAGTGAAAGGAAAGGACTTTTTTTAAACCTTAGCTTGAAAGAAAGAAAGAAAGAAAGAAAGAAAGAAAGAAAGAAAGAAAGAAAGAAAGAAAGAAAGAAAGAAAGGGACAAACCAACCAACCAACCAACCATTGTATGAGTTCGCTGGGGCTGCCAAAACAGGATACCACAGACTGGGTGGCTAAACCAACAGACAACTTCCAGTTCTAGAGAACAGGAGTTTTGGGAGATGTGGTTTCTTCTCAGGCCTCCGTCCTTGCTTTACAGATGACTGTCTTCCCACTGGTCCTCACATGGTCATTCCTTCGTGTGTGCATCCCTGGTCTTTTATCTCCCAACTTCCTCTTCTTTGAAGGACCCCAGTCAGACTCGATTAGAGCCCACCTCATTCTAACTTAATCATTTCTTTCAAGGCCTTACCTCCAAATACAGAAAGTCTGAGGTACATGGCGGGGACACGTGTGTGTGTGTGTGTATGTGTGTGTGTGTATTTCAACAAACGAGTCTGGTAGGTTGACAATTCAGCGCCCAACAACCATCTATTCGGATGTTCTCTTTTTAAAACACTGTGACCAAGTGCATACTTCTGAAGAGAAACTATTTTATTTTAAGGCTTTTTATACATTTAGCAAGAGGATATATACTGAATTACATTAGCAGAATTGTATTAATAATAGGTAACTTATACCTGGAAAGCTAGTTAGAATGAAAAACAGTTTTTGTTTCATTAGTCTTCACAAACAGTATTAAGGTAGTTTATGTGATTTCTGTGAAAATACATTATAGAAGATCTTCCTTAAAACAAGTATATAAAAATCTAAAATATCGTTAAGATTTCATTAGCCTACAATCCCAAACTGAAAAATTTAAAACAGATTAACCTCCTTTTCTATGGGAAGATGTGCTGAAAAGAGCTAATTTTACTGTTTGAACCTGATTAATTGCTCACCATACCTTCCCCACAATGAATGAAATCTAGCTCTCAGAGGGCAAAACTCACAAAATTCAATAGGCAGGCTGTCTTAGAATTCCACTTAATGAAGTTTAGGTTTGATTAACTAGCTGTTTTAATTACAATTTCAAGTCTTATAGATACAGAAATTCTATTTTTTCCAGAACAAACTTGTATATCCTTATAATATGAAAGGGAAGAAAACAGATTTTAACTGTTGATTCCTTTTACTTTTTGAGCTTAGTGACTGACATTTTTTTTTCCCCTTTTCCTTCACAGCCTGGCATTCATCTGATTCATTAGCTTCTCCAATTTGATTGCTAGGGACATGTTTCCTTTAATCTTCAATTTTCCTGACATGAATGCCATTGTTGGTTTTAGTTTCCCTAAAATGAGAAAATGAGAGAAGGAAAAGCAACCATTAGTGCCCTTAGGGAGATACCACTTCAAGAACAAGCATTATAAAAAGAACCTTCTTGAGTTCTATAATCCTCTGAAGTGCACAAATTTCTATTCCAGAATTTTTTTTATCAGTATCTTGGGAATCCCAATTCCTAGACTTAGATGTTAACAATATCTTATAATATGAGATAATGTAAAAACAATCAGCAAAGATTATACCAAAAAGATGAAGATGCAACATTTATACACCAGTTACAGCACATTAAAGGATACACAGCCCTCAGATGAACTGTAGTAAACAAATACTATTTTAGTTAATTTTCCAGTCTATTATACAGTTCATTAAACTTTTAACATTTCAGGTTTAGATTAAAAAAAAAATCAAAAGGTATAAATGCATATAATATTCTTAAGAAGTTATCATTAAAAACATAGTTTATGGGGCGCCTGGGTGGCTCAGTGGGTTAAAAACATAGTTTATGGGCAACAAAAGTATGTGTTAGCACAGAAATGCCAGGATGTGAAATGGGAGCATTATAGCAGAACTGTAGTTATTAACAACACAAAAGGAACAGAAGCTCCATGGAGGGAGGAGTCTGTATTTGCTACTCTTATTCTAGTATAGGGTCAGGCACACAGTGCAAATAATGAGGAAACTGAGGCTCAGAGACTATTCTGACTTGCCCAATGTCACACAGCTTATATACGACACACTGGATTTCAAAGCCAGGTGTTTCAGATTCCTTTTTTCTTTTTTTTAAGATGTTATTTATTTGACAGAGAGAGAGAGAAAGAGAATGCACACATGTGCTGAGCATGAAGCCCAACGTGGGGCTCGATCCCATGACCCTGAGATCACAACCTGAGCCTAAATCAAGAGTTGGATGCTTAACCAACTGAACCACCCAGGTGCCCCTAATTCTTAATACTTTTTTGAGCTATATGATGCCAATTTATATATACAGTTATCTCCAGCAGGCACGATGTGTCTGGTGCATTAGTAAACTTCTACTTGCCCACACAAAAATGGGCTCTTTGTAGGGGGGAAAAAAAAAAAGCATGGGTTAATGTGTTTATACATGTTGAGATATTAAACACCTTTAAATTATTCGATGTAGGGGTTGTAACAAAGCATTATAGTTTGTTTAAAGATAGAAAGAATCAAGTCCAATTCTTTAACGAATAAACAGGTGCACATTACTCCACGGAAATGTGATGTTAAATACCTAAATTTACAAATCATAAACTAAGGGATAGTTTTGATTTATACAGAAGACAGGAAAATCTTTGTTCTTTACAGGAACAGAACGGCTCCACCAGAAACTTAACAAACACTAATATCTGGGAGCTCTTCTGCTGAAAAACTGGGTCCCTATTCTGTCACCCTGCTTCACTGCAGGGTTTCACAACCCAGGAGACCACAAGCCCTGCTCACACATACACAGCTTCTTCAGCTTTATGGAGCCCTGCCTATAAAGACAAATGGACATTGGGGCACCTGGGTGGCTCAGTGGGTTAGGCCGCTGCCTTCAGCTCAGGTCATGATCTCAGGGTCCTAGGATCGAGTCCCGCATCGGGCTCTCTGCTCAGCAGGGAGCCTGCTTCCCTCTCTCTCTCTCTCTCTGCCTGCCTCTCTGTCTACTGTGATCTCTCTCTGTCAAATAAATAAATAAAATCTTAAAAAAAAAAAAAAAGACAAATGGACATCAAATGGAGACAAAAAACCAAAAACAGATAAAAGCCATTTGGCAGGCACTGAAGAAAGCTAAACAAAGTAAAAAAATAAAAAATTTCAGAGTTTGTGTCCTTATTGATAAGAGAACATATAAAAGCAATGAATCAAGAGAATACTGGAGAAAGGCGGAAGAAGAGAAGCGCAGGGAAGAGGGAGAAAATAGAGGAGACAACCTAAATGGGTAAGGGAGGAGAATGAGAGGGAGAGAAACAGTAGAACGGAAATGGAATGGGATCCAGTGAGTGAAAAGGGGGCGGTAAGAGAAGAAGAAACAGTGACCACGTGGTGAAATCCTAGAAATTAAAAATTTGAGAGAAAAAATTGAGAGATAGGCAAGAGGCACTTGTAGATCCTCTGGTCACAGAGGTCCGTCTTCCCCATTGCTACCATCCCCCTCCCACTACTACAAAAGTTTCTCTCCATGCACCAACCCCCATAATACTCTTTCCAAATAAAGTTTCTCCTTACTCTATAAAAAAACATGGTAGGTAAAAATAAGGTGAGTCAATCTCCCCCAAAGTAAAAAAGTTATATTAAGACATATGCAATACGAGAAGGAGACCGTCAAAGATTGAATCAAAGATCATATGTTTTCTCTAGAAAGTGAGAACTGAAAGAAATATCAAAGAAATAATTTAAGATACATTCCCAAGGAACCTATCAAGTACCCAGGAAAATGAAAGAAAAAAAAAAAAAAGACCACACTACCTTGCATCATGATGAAATTTCAAACCATAACAGAGAAAGAGCATTCCGATTCCAAAGTTTTTAGAAAGGAGAGGGTGGATCCAAAAGATTAAGAAAAACAGTATCATTCAATTCTCAATGGTAATCTTAGAAGATGGAGCAATGGCTTCAAGATTCTTTTTTTTTTTTAATGAGTCTATTCATTTGTTGATTTTAGAGAGACTGGAGAGCCTGTGAGCAGGGGAAGGAGCAGAGAGAGAGGGAGAGGGGAAGAAACTCCAACAGACTTCACACTGAGTATGGAGACCAATGTGGGGCTCGATCCCTCAACCCTCAGATCACGACACATGCGGAAATCAAGAGTTAGGCACTTAAACCAACTGAGCCACCCAGGCACCCCCTGGCCTCACATTTCTGAGGAAAAATGAGTTTCAACCCAAAAAGCTCTACCCAGCCAAATAATGTGTTGGTAGAATACAAGTAGTTTTAGATACTCACAAAATATTGCCTCTTAAAACAAGATGGGATTGGGAGGGAGACAAACCATAAGTGACTCTTAATCTCACAAAACAAACTGAGGGTTGCTGGGGGGAGAGGGGTTGGGAGAGGGGGTGGGGTTATGGACATTGGGGAGGGTATGTGCTATGGTGAGTGCTGTGAAGTGTGTAAACCTGGCGATTCACAGACCTGTACCTCTGGGGATAAAAATACATTATATGTTTATAAAAAATTTAAAAAAAATACTGCCTCTTATGTATCTTTTCTCATGAAGCTACTGGAGAATGTGTGCAACCAAAAGAGGATATAAACCAAGAAAGAACATGGGACACAGGAAATAAAGACATTCAGTGCAGAAGAGAGTTAAAAATTGTTAGGATCACAGCTGTGTAGCAGGCTTAATAAGTCTATCTATCTATTATAACAAGACAAAGGGCTCCAGGAAAAAAGCAGACCAACAGGTAACCTGACACATTTGGCAGAGTGGAAAACTGTATCAAAAGGTTGTGGGAAGAGTACAGAAAGATTCTGCTTAGTTTCTTTATACTTACTTTAGTGGGGGGGAAAATAGGACAATTATTTATGTCCAGGAAAAAGAAAAGTTCTCTTAAAGGAAACATAATAATAGTATACTATTTGACTCAGCAGCAAACTATACCAGAATCATAATCATTTAAACCTAAGTATTGATTTAAGCAAAAATAGTGATAGAATTATATTGGGGGGATGGGTAAGGGGCAGGTAAAGCAAAATCAAGGTGCTGTAAAAGGACTTAAATCTCACTTATCAGTCTTTAGATGAGTGAATCTAAACAAAACAGTGTAAGTATATATCTAATATTGAGAAATATGATTACATTGGAAAAGGTACAGTTACATAATGAAAAAGATACCAAAGAGACCTGAAGGTGATTACTTCTGTGCTGTGGAAGGGGGAAAGGCCAAAGAACACCTTTTAAAAATACATACTTTGGGGCACTTGGTTGGCTCAGTTAGTGGAGTGCGTAACTCTTTATCTTGGGGTCATGAGTTCAGACCCCATGTTGGCTGTAGAGATTACTTACAAAATAATTTTTTTTTGAAGATTTTATTTACTGGACAGACAGAGACACCAAGAGAAGGAATACAAGCAGGGGGAGTGGGAGAGGGAGAAGCAGGCTTCCTGCTGAGCAGGGAGCCCTGTGTGGGGCTTGATCCCAGGACCCTAGGATCATGACTGGAGCCCAAGGCAGACACTTAACAAGTGAGCCACCCAGGCACCCCAAAAATTTTTAATAAAATAAAAACAGGTATATTAAAGATTGAGGTGAAATTCACATGACATAAAATTAACCATTTTAAAGTGAGTAATTCAGAACTTAAATTTAAGTATAGTCACAAGATCATACAACCACTACCTCTATCTTGTCCCAAAACATTTCCATCCCCCAAAAGAAAACCCTGTACCCACTATGTATTAACAGTCCCCCTCCTTCTAGACCCTGGCAACCACTAATCAGCTTTCAGTCTCTATGAATTTACCTATTTTAGTGTTTCACATGAAAAATTTCATAAAAAATGTGATCTTGTGTCAGGCTTCTTTTGCTTATTAAGTTTTTAAGGTTCATCCACATTGTATGATGAATAAGTATTTCATTTCTTTTTATGGCTGAATAATATTTCATTACACACACACACACACACACACACACACACACAAATAATTTATTGATTCATCCGTTGATGGCCATCTGGGGTTTTTCCCACCTTTTGCCTATTGTGAATAGTGCTGCTATGAACATGTGTATATACATATTTGAGGGTCTATTTTCTTTTGAATATGGGAGTGGAAATGCTGGGATAACTGGATCTCCACGTCCAAACAAATGAGGTTAGGTTTCTATTTCACACCATATACAAATATTAGTTCAAAATGGGTCAGAGACCTAAATGGGAGAGCTAAATCTAAACACCCTCAAAAAAGGGGTGCCAGGCTGGCTCAGTCAGAAGAGCAAGCGGCTTCTGATCTCGGGACTTTGAAGTCTGAACTCCATTGTTGGGTGCAGAGATTATTTAAAAAAATAAA